ATGTCCTTGTAATCAACGTTGAATGTGACATTCAGCAATAAACAATAACATATTATTATTATTAATATAAAAGTATGGATATTACTTCACAGTAAACGTTATACATGTATTTACTTTAAAAAGTTTCATACTTTAGATGATAGTCGCTATCAAACGATTTAAAAATGACGAATTTTCAAATTCAGTAGGCAAAGAACTCATGTGATCGTACAAATTTGTACATAGATAATACAAGTAAATCACGTGACAAATTTAAATAAATTTTTAATAATGATATAATATAAAAAATGACAAGTGAATGTAGGTATTGTGCATTTGGTAATTCATGTTTGACAAATACTTAGTTCTTTCATCCTTAAAAAACAACAGACAATTCAAACAAGTTCAGGCAAAAATACTTTGGGGAATTAAGTCAAAGTAATACAAAACTACAACGTGCTACTGCAGATAACATAGAAGAGAAAAACAGTTTCAAGATATTAAATGTATAAGTTAGTGACATTTGGCTTAGTAATTTATGATTAAGTGGGATTAATGAAAATATACTTCCTTGGTATGGTAATGTCCTTTAACAGATGATTTTGAATCGAATTGAGTGGCATATTTATTACTGGCCGCTGCTAGAATTTGACGTATCTTGATATCCCATGACCTCTTGCTAATCTTTTCCCGGTTATTGACCATAAATGTCCGCAGCTGAAGTGTCAGGCTTAGCTTTATTCCGGAAATGGCATTTAAACCAAAAGGATTAAAAAGTCTTGTCATCAGGTCATAATACTCTCCGCATATTGATGTTTACCCGTTATGTATACTTGTAACCGGGACTCAACAATTATTAAAAAAACAGGGACCAATGTCATATGGCTATCTTAAAGTGTGGGTCAGTTTAAAACGTTGATTACCGCGGTGGTACAAATAAATGTTGTTTTTTTTACTTTTGACTTGAGATAACGGTTTAACATCAAATATGCGGAGAGTATTATCAACAAATTGCATGAATGGGGAATTGCGAATTTGTTTGCTTAAAATGTCGACAGTTTTTGAAATACAAATCAAAATTATATAAAACACCATACAACCTCGTCACGTAATGTTGTTACAAATATTTACAAGCGTACGTTTGATTATGTCCTTGTAATCAGCACCAAACGATTAGGATCCCAGTCAAAAGTGACATTCAGCAACATGTTTATGACAAATTGCATTTCATTATTTCAACAATATAAAACAACATTATGATATTAATTTATTCATGCCAAGCAAATTTTACATGAAATATATATGTGTTGGCTTGAAAATGTACACACATGTACTTGAAAATAACTTCAATGTCATAAAAATATTCTCACTAAAAGATAAATTTACAGTTTCAAATTTTAAACAAAACAAAAAAAAAAATGACGATTGCATATCATAAAAACTTAATTAAAGTAAGGACGTAATTGACATATTGAAGGCAAAAATAAAGAAATACAAAATATAATCTGCTACTTGGAAAAAAACAAATAGAAAGCAAAAAGAAAGTTCTAATTTATTTAATGTATCAGTCTGGACATCTAGCCAAGTTATAAAAGATTGACTAGAAATATACGCAGTGTACTTTCCAAATATGGTAATGTCCATTCGTAGATGAATTGATACGAAATGATTGGCATATTAAGGCGCAGCTTGAAGAAGACATTTCTTGATATAACCTCTTTCACTTTGGTTTCCGGTTATTTATTATAGCTGTCTGCTGAAATATTAGTTTATTTGAACGACAGTCATCAATGTCAGCCAGGACATTACACTTAAACTGCAATGAAAAATAGTTTCAACTCGGAACGATACAGATCTGGCTACTTACTTAAATTGTGACATTTTTTCAAATATATCTCATTTGGAGTTAGCCATAGCTTGTCTGATCATATATTTTATGAATTCATTTATAAATTGTGTGGTCATTATGTGGTTTCAGATAGCTTAATATATTTCTTAATGATCTCTTTTCTGGGCAAAAATATTCAACGATTAAACTTGACATTTTTTTAATTTTGGTGGCTAATGAATTGTATTTTGGTGGCTAATATATTGTATTTTAATCTCGGTTGGCGTGATTGACTTACCGCACTTACTTGGAGTGTGGATGCCCTACCTTTACCGACTACAAGTACATGCCTTTAAAGCCAAATGTATTCCATTTTCGTAACCACAGCCATTCATACTGTTTATGTTTTTGCACTTTCCTTATAATCAGTAATGTAGAAACTCAGTTGCTTGATTTGACAACGTTGAAAATCATACTCAGATGGCTACAGGGACCATGTGAACATACAATTATGTACATAAAAATAGCAGTCAAAACGCTTGTATTTGTGCTGAAATAAATCAAGTACCCATACAATCTAACAGCGGAAAGTTCTGCCCAAATTTCTTGTGGCATGACAACCAGTTAATATTAAAGGACATTTCCAAAGTCGAAATAGGACAAGGTCATGGCAAAATTCTTTTTGAAAGTGTAAAGTTCAACGACAATGCAATACAAAAATACAGAGTGCTACTGAAAATAAAGTAGGAGAGAGAAATTAAATATATCAAATGTATAATTCAGTGACATTAACCAAGTAATTGAAGATTTGCTTGAAATAATGCAAATATACTTCCTAAGTATGGTAATGTCCTTTCGTAGATGAATTGAAACGATATGAATGGCATAACTTATTATTATAAGACACAGATTGCTGATATCCCAGGAACTCTTGCTCATCAGTTTCCGGTTATTGACCATAGATGTCCAATGCTGCACATTAAAGCTGCATGCCTCAAAATGAGCTCAATTCTCAACACGTAAATGTACTGTAATCAATGATCCAGAATTAAGGACCAGAAAAATAGACTGAATTACTGTAAGTATCAAATATTTGACAAGATCACCGATTATACTTTCGAGGAAATTTAGACAGGCTTTGCAAACCACCCCTCATTTTGGTTAATTTTAGGGATATTTTGAATAAGGCTCTCTAAGATGTAAATGGATGGGATTTTACGGCTAGCGTGGTTTGTTGACTGAATGTTATTATTTGTTTCTTAACAAAACATTTTTCATAAGGGTGATATAATAGATTATTTAGAGTTTCCTTATTTCTGAAAAAGAGCTCTACTAATAGCAATCCACAATCGTAGATTCCAGAATTTAGTTCAAGATGTGACAGACTTACCACAGATATTAGAAAATGTAGATCGATCTAACGTTTGACCTACTTCTCAACCTACCACCGGTACATGCCTTTGAAACAAATTAAATTATATTTTCGTTAATGTTACTAATCATTACTAAACAAAACATGCACAAAAAATAGTTACATCTAATTTGAGAAAAAGTCATATTTCAAAATATAAAACCACCCACGCCATCTCATCCGATCCAAAAAAGCTACAAAAATAATTGCTTAATAAATAGATAAAATAAACGGCTTTATATTGGATTGGATACACCATCCCTGGCTTGGAAATGATGATATATTAGCTACAAAATGTAATTAAAACTAATAAATTCTTTAATGATATGTATCATCAAGCTAGGAGCACATTATAATTTATTTACTTTCTGATATAAAATATTATTTATCAGGCATGAGACATACTGTAAATGTATTTTGTACTTTGTTAAATTACTATTGTGGGAATTCTATATTTACTTAATCTAGCTGTCAAATAAACATTAACGATTAAAATTTCGACGAGATCGCCGAAAGATGCTCGTTAAAAATGTATTAGAAAGAACATCAAAATGTTTTAGCATGCTAGTGTGTTGATTCCAAATTACTATCGGCGAAAATTCATATCTTTTCTGCTGAATATCGAATTCTGCGTTAAACTAGACTATAACAAAAGTTTAATCGAACAAGCACGTGAAGTCTGGTTTTGTAGAATTCCTGACCTATAGTAATGGTCTGAATGTGTGGCGTAACTTTCAAGTCTTGTAAATGTCGGGAAATGAGTTATGTTTTAAGGTAGTATTTCATTAATAATCATGAGGGACCAACATTATAGGAATCTCTTGAATGTTGTTAGATTTAGAAAGATTTGTGAGTTTCCGGTGGTGCACATACACTTAAAGCATATGGAAGGTTATATTAACAAATTCATTGGGAGAGTTCCCTTTTGAAATTTGTTTGCGTTAAATGTCAACTATTTTTTAGAAAGAAAACAAAATGATATAAAATGTCGAACAATATCTTATCACATTATGTTGATTAACATATTTACATAACTGTGTTTGATCGTACGTTTTCATGGAAATAGCAACGAACAAAATGCATGCCAGTAAAGAAAGGATGAGTCGAAAGAGACATTAAACAATGAATATTGCATGCATATCAACATTTATATTGCATTTCACCAATGATTTATGTATCAAGCGGGTGCTGTTTTGTAAATTCGGACCTGCAGTGAATGTTAATTAGTATTTTTTTTCAATATAAAGATATAATTTATTCATTAAAAAGTAACCATCTGAAAAATATATGCAAATAATTTCTGTTTCATTCTTGCTTATATGCTAATAACAAATTATCCAAATTTTGCGGGAAACGGTGGTTTCTTGTCTCTGAAGATAACAGTGACTTGACCTTCCGAATTTTTATGATATACCCACTTTAAACACATCAATCTCTTTTATTTGAAAATAACTGAAAGAAATCCTGCATCAAGCAGCTATAAACGTATACATAGAGTTTTCTGGCCCCAGTTTTATAATCTTGACCCATCATGATTCAATAGCGAATATGCCAGATAAATCTACAGATCTTAAAAAACATACATGATCATATTGACCTCATATTGATACATATTCACATATCAATAACTGCATGAGTTTTATAGTGTTTTGTTTTTTGTCGTTGTTTTTTCATATTTTTGGTTTGTCCTGTGTTAAGCGTGCTTTTTCTTTCATCAGAAATATTTGCGTACTAGTTTTTACTTTGCTAAAACAATAATCAGTGGTTAAAGGTTGAGAACCTTATTCACGAGCATCTTTTAAACAATCATACCATTCATGCGTTTCCGGTTTTGCAACATCGAAATTGAACACATGTTCGCTTAATATTCACAATATTTTAATAAGATGGGGAAAAACAAATTTAAGAAAAAGCCTGGGGCTAATCTTGGTATGTTTTTCTGTAAGTTTTAATAAAGTGGATGATGTAATGCATTATATATAGTTTTGTGTAACTTTACCATAGTTCGGATAAAATCTTAACCAAATTGCAGGTTTCCTGTTATATCGCCAGACTACTGACTAGTAGATGATCCACAAATTGGTATATGATACACACATAAATGTATTTAATCATTCCTGATAGGTGTTTCAATATTTTAATAAATGTGTACCTGTAATATGTTTGTAACTATTTTTTGTTCCCAGCTAGCAAGTAGATTTGTCGAGGCCTGTGAGCTACACGGCCACTTGCACATTATCTCCCATAATAAGTGTGCTGTTCTGAGCCATTAAAAATTCTCCGTTATATTGAAATTTGTTCTCAAATTTCTCAGGGTTACAGAGCAATTTGATTTTAACTCTGAGCTATATTCAGTCACAGACCAACATTGAGTCCAATTGTCACAGGGTGGAAAAAATGTGCAGCTGGTACTGAAATCCAGGACCCTCGGAATATCACACCGCGGCTCTACTGTTTGAGTTATTCGGCTGTTTACACACTGTAGATATCCCAGTTCAATACCATGACAGCAGGGCTTTTTCCCTTCTATAAGTATAACAGGGACCGATGTAAATTCACTTTTTTCACAAAGCGGCAGAAAAAAATTCACCTTCCAGTAAAACATGATTTACGCCAATTGCAATAACCCAGAAAGTTTTAATCAAGTTAATTGTTTTTTGTGCATGTTAACTGTGTTAAAATACCAACTTGAAGCAGATTTTACACAGGTCAGAAATTGTAATCAATCGTTTCTGGTTTCAAAATGTCGCGAAATGCCAAGTAATATGTCATTTGTTTTTCTTCACAATTTTATGACATATCGCGCTTTTTTCACAAACTGAACAGGCCCAGCCCCTTCACAATTTTGACAAAAAATGCCCTGTGACATGAATGTTTCAAAGATGCGTCTTATAATTTGAAATATATGGTACTTCAACATTTAACTGGAAATAACAGATCTTTAAGAAAATCATATGTTTTGAAGTTAGTTAAAAAGTCAATTAATAACTCAGTTGACAAGATCTCTATACTGTTTTGCAGAAGAAAGGAAAAAAAGATTGAGAGAAGCTGCAAGAGAAGAGAAGAAATCCAAGTCGTCAAAGATAAAATATTCTCTAGACCAACTTTTAGACAAAGTATGTACAAGACCTGTCCTATATTCAACTTAAATTATCATCTTTTAGAGCATAATCATGTACACAATAAGCATCCATTTAAGATTATAATGTACATACAAAAATACAATAAATACAAAATATAAAAAATACAATTATGACATTAAATTGTGTCTTTGTATAATTGCATAATTGTTTTATAATTTTGTAATAATTTTATATAAAATTTAATATTTTCACCTAAACTGTTAATTTTCTGTGTGTTGTCTTAATTCAGTGATGGTTTTTAGTGAAAGAAGTCATTTGATATATTTTTTCATTGTATAACTTGTATTACTTAGTTCTTTATAACAAACATTGATAAGGAAACTATTGAGCTAGCATATGAAAGGTCTATGGTCCCTCATAGTTGCCTCTTTATTCATACAATCTATGTGACCCCCTCTGTCTAAAAAAGGAAATATATTATATTACAGGCACAAGACTGTATTGACAGATTTGAGTATGAACTTGCTCAGAAGTTTTGTCAGCGGGCCCTTGAGATAGAAGCGGATAATGTGCGAGCTCTGGAGACATCTGGGGCACTGTTGATTGACCTTGGAAACCTAGAGGCTGCTAAACAGGTATGTCTATGTCTTACATGTAGTTTGGTCAAGTTTTTGGCATTTGTAGTTAATGAAAACCTTCTTATTTTTATTTGATTGTGAAGGCAGTAATTAATCTTAAGTTTGTTGTCATATTTTACCCATGCAACCAATGCAGAGTCCATTTAAGATACATATATATACCATGGCAAGGTAATACAATAAAGAATTCTTGAAATTGGTAAGATTCCATTTTAAGTTATTCAAAAATAAGAAATAATGAAATACATTTCTGTACATCATGTGTTGTTATCTGTATCTATGTTTCAGTGTTTTGGAAGAGCTGTGGTGGTCAGTCCTAATGAAGGATATTCAAAATACCTTAATCTTGGTCAGCTGTTCGAAGGTAAGGGTATACTTTACATATAAACTTTGTCATTATTTTTAAAATACAACTTATAGTAATGGCAATGCATTGGGTAGATTGTGACATATATTATTTTACAAAGACCCTTAGAATGATAAAATTACACCTATGTGTAAGAAGTGTCGTGTTTCCTGAGTAATTCAAAAATCTTTTTGTATTATTTTGTATTCATATTGCATAAAATGGTTCCATAAATTAACAAAATGAGCAAGAAAAAAGGCCATGTCTTCTGGTTCATTACATTGTCTGAAAAGGTGTGTTGTATTTGTTCGTACATTCATCTTTATTATATTTTATTGACATTTTTAAAAAAAACATGTGTCAATACTAATCTAGGAGCACAGTCAATAGAATGTTACCAGAAGGGTATAGAGCTGATGGTGGCCGAGAAGGAGAAGAAAGAGGCAAAGGAGGTGGCGGCTGCTTGCGGGGGAGACAGTGGACATGTCACTGATAGAAATATATCTGATGCTTATGTTGCCATTGCTGAAATTTACATGACAGATTGCTGGTTAGTTTAAGATTTTCCTTTAGATGTTTCAAATGGTGAACTGAATCTACTTTATAAGAATCTTAGTCTTAGTGCAAGTACTGACTGGAATATCTGACTCAAGTTAACTGTTTAAGACTGTGTTGAGGTTGAACTTAAGTTTCTGCTAAACAGCTATACTAGAACTAATATAATATAGAACGGAATATTCCCATATCTTAATGTAGCCAGTGTTTGATTCTGTGTCTTACATATGGCATACCCCAGCATATATTCTAATTTTGAAAAGAAATAACAAAAACAAATATTTAATTAAAAACTTATATGCAAGAATATACTACATACATGTATATTCATACTCATGTATTTTGACTGAAAAAGATATGGCTTGATAATAGGACAGAGCATCTGCAAAACGTTTAACAAGAAACGCTTTTTGGTTGTTTTTTGCGCAATACTTAATTTTTTATGAAAATTGCATAATTTTCAGTCTTGTGCTTAATTAAATTGAGATCAAGCTAGCTATTTGTTTTCCAACTTGTTTTATACAGTAACTTATTTTCTTTTTGTTCTATTGTTTTCAATTGGGTTTATTATTTAGACTTTTCTGTTGTAACAGATTGAATCTCCATTTTGTACATCATATTGTGCTTGAACCATCCGTTGTTTACAGACTTTCAATTTTTGTAATCTAGCTGAATTAATTTTATTGCTCAACATTTATGAGAAAATTAAATAATCCCCAATCAGTGTTACCACCACAGATGTCTCTTGTGGTTTTTAACATTTGAATTAATCATTTCAATAGTTCTTTTCAATTTTCCAAGCTTATTTTTCACTTCCCTAATGTACAAATTATAGATTAAAAAATTGTTATGTAATAACAGTTTTGAAGCTGATGCGGAGGACAAGTGCCGATGTAGTATATTGAAAGCTATCGAAGCCGACCCCAATAATCCTGATGCTGTACAATTGATGGCAAGCTTTTTACTCACCAAGGAGAAAACACAAGTAAGTTTTTGTCACAAGATCTATCCAGATTGTCCTTTAAAGCAGCCTTCAGCTTTTCTAAAGGTTAACTATTTTATATTTAGATAAATAGTTTCATATAATTGTCAAATAAAAAGAATTAAGGTGGAAAATGAAATTTGCCATTGATAGAATACATAAACAATAAGGAAACCCCTCGATACATCTAAATCTGCCCGTCTGCTCTCTTTGTTTAAATAAGTAAAGCAGACGCTTTCTTTCCCAATCTTCTATATTTAGAAATGAAAGTCACTGACATGTTATAAATAGCTCTCTGAAAGCTGTATTGAAGAAGAGTTAATAGTGATATGATAAAATCACTGAAATACTTAGATTGAAATAACACAGAATTCTTTTTCCGACAAGAATAAAAGCTGAAGGTCCCTTTAATCTCAGTAAGGAGACAGTAAAGATAAACTGAACTAAAATTCAAGAGTTTGAGCTACGGGACAAGGCTATGATTTTTATTCTAAACAGATCTTGGTTTACCTGTGCATAGAACAAAAGTGAAGAGCTTTTTTTTGGTCAAATTAAAGAGAAATGTTTGTGAAAGAGGAAAATACCTGTAGAAATGTATTTTATTGAAGTGGATTGGTCTACAGTGGGCACTTTTAATGACATTTTCTTATAAACTGCTTTGCGATGGGACATTGTGTATACGGACAACATCATGTATATGTTAGTGTTGAATTTGAAATATACAATTTTTGTTACAATTACTAGGAAGCAAGACAAGAAATAAAGAAGAGTGTAAATCTATGGTTACCAGCATTCAAGGCCAGTGAGAATCCAGAGGCTTCCACTAGTGAACCATTAGAGTGTTCACAGGTAAGTTATGTATTTTTAGGATGTCTGTGGCTGAGTGGTTAAGGTCGCTAACTTCATACCACTTGCCCCTCAACGTTGTGGGTTCCAATCAATCAAGCTGGCTTACGAAGCGCCAGTGGTTCTATTCAGGTGCATTTTTGTGCCTTAAATAATGCATGGAAGGGCAACTGAGGTCTTCCTCCACCAGTAAAGATGGGAATTTGTCATATGATCTTAAAAGTGTTGGTACGACCAAAAAAATTCAAAACATAGTTTTATGTCTTTTGGTATAATAGGTAATTTTGGGATTTATCTTTAAAAGCTGAAGTGACTGCTGAATTTCTATTTCTTTTGGATATAAATTTGAATTACACCAGGAAATTAGTTTCATCATGTTAGGAGGATATCCAGATGTCTTTAGCAATAACTGGACACCTGTTTATTCAACCTGTTGAACATAATATATACTATAAAATCATTATATTCAAGGGCATGAATTTTCATGGTTTGCTGACAATTACGTTGGATTGTAAATTTGTGGAATTCAGTTGCCATATAAAAAAACATTGTTGACATGATACACGAAAATTTATCCCCCACAAATAATGTTTTCACGATAGTTTACATAATTTGGAACAGTGTCATTTACTTTGATTTATGTTTTTATTAAATTGATTTGATGTTCATTCTATTTGATAAATTTCATTTGGATTCTACATTTATATTTTCACAAATGAAATTGATAAATTCAGTCATCAGATGAACTTACATATCTTTGAAATGTTTTGCAGAGCTTTGAGTCTCGTCTTGCAGCAGGAAAGATTTTGATAGAGGTAGAGGAACACGAGGTAATTGAATTGTTTATTAATAATGTCTTTTATTTTCACTCCAGTTTATACTTTATTTAACCAGAAAATAAGTATACCTATAGCTGAATCAAGTTGCTTTTAATCTAACTGGATGTATTATATTTCTAAAATGTCTTTCATATAATATATAATTCTAAACATGCATTAGCTCAAACTAAAAGGTATGAGTAAAACCTAATTTTCAAACTTCAATTCCCAAAATATCCACTACCCCCAACACATTCTAAAACAAAATTTTGAATATAACGGAATATTTATCACCAATTATATTTGCAGCTTGCAATAGAAGTGTTAGAAACTCTGTTGGAGGAAGATGACGAGAATGTTGAAGTCTGGTATCTGATTGGCTTAGCAAATCATCACCTAGGAGACGAGGGGCGGGACAACGCTAGATCATATCTCAACAAAGCAAAGAAAGTGTACAATAAAACCAAGTGTAAAGATGAGGATCTTCTCAAACACATCGAAGAATTACTGGAGACACTAGGAGCTGGTAATACTTGGAGAATATTTAATTGTTTATTTTTTATCGAATATGGAATATATCTCACTAAGAAGAATTTCAAAATACAAAATGTATTTTCAAGAAAGCAATGTGCTAGTCTAGTGAAAATATAAATGTCTTCCCTCAAGAAGCGAGATGTAGTCAATATGTCACACTTATTAAAACACATTAACAAAAATGGTACCAAATGATGCTTTTTAACTGATTTATTAAAAATATATATGTTGTGGGTTCAGCTTTGCTATTCATTTTTATGCAAAAATTCTATATTTGACTTATATCCTACTAGATAGAATAAAAGTTTAAGATAAATGTTATGATAGATGACATGACAAATTTTTATGAATAAGATATTTTTCTCCTTACTAAGGCTTACTTAGTGGATAGAAAGAATAGACGATATATTAGACATACAAAACAGTAATTTATCAAACACTTATCACTTGTTTAATCTCCTATTATTACAGGAGATGATGTAATGGATTCTGATATTGAAGCAGACGACATTGATGATGCAGACGACAAACTGATCGAGTCTGATGATGATGAAGAAGATAATACTTCCCAGCAAGCAATGGATCATTGATATTAATGTTAATTTGTATATACATTGAAATAAATACTGTTGAATTATTTCATTATTGCTTCTTTAAAGGCTTACTTTTCAAACTAAGGATAAATTATATATAGTATATATGTTGGCCTCGAGATTTGGTGGTAATATTTTTAATTTAAGCTCAACAAGTCATTATTGTTGAACTACTGACATACAAGCAGGCGTCCATTGCCAAGTGGTTAAACAACACGCTCCTCACCACTGTGGGTTAAAGTCCATCCGGGCACTTCAGATTCTTTCACGTGATGAAGCTATCCAACTAGCTTACGAAACATCAGTGGTTCTACTAGGGTGCCAATTCGTGCCTGCAATAATTCACAAAGAGGCACATAAAGTCTTCCATTGGAAAATAGCCATATGACCGTTAAAGTGTTGGCCGACATAAAACCAAACCAAATCCTGCAAACTAGATGCACAAATAACCTCAAAGCCATCGCGGTTTGAAATCATCAGTTCAGAATGTTTAAACT